CTAGGTATATTATGGAGACTCAATTTAAAAAAAGAATGAAAAAGATAGGGGAAAGAATGCCCACGAAGGCCCACTTGGCCAGACAGAGGGGAGGAACTGGGGGCATGAGGACCCCTATTCTAGCCGGTGAAGCAGCTCTTCCTGGGCACGTCTGCTCACTGCCCCATGGTGGTGGGGGAACAAGAGGGGAGACCGGGGTGCCGGCCTTTGTCCTGGCAAGTTGGTCCAGATATGGGAATTTTTATGTGTGTGCTCTTTGTTATCAAATACTGGCCAAGTGATTGGGAATTTTTATCCTAGTAGCATGTTGATCTCATCCAATATGAAGAAAATACGTTTGAGTCAGAGACTGAGAAAAAAAGGGTGTTCTAGTGGGCCCATGGTGTTCCAGTGCAAACTCTAGGTTCACAGTCTTGTGTTTATAATTGGAGGGTTGTTATAATGGTTTGAAAGTTCACGGAAAATACTCTAAAATTGTCTCCCAAAGACCAGGGGTGCACTCCTGGCTGAAGGATATTTCTGAGCCTGGGGAAACACCAATTCATTAGACCTATTTTGGGAAATGTGGATATTTTTTGCCACTGCATCTCCTTGTACACATGTTTGTACAAACTGCTAACTTTAACTGCATTTCTAAATTGAACTTCAGTTTCTAAATCCAGGAATAGGGTTGCTGTACTTTAAAAAAATATTTACATTGGTGTTACTATCTTGCCCCTCCAGAGTTTTTTTTAATTGACATGATTATTAGGTCCCTTTCATATTTGTTATTATTGACACTGTTACCATATTCATTTCTTACAATGGTTGTAGCTTCAATCACCACAAACCACAAACGTGTCTTCTTACAACTCTGGAAGCACCAGAAAGCAGGAATTATTTTTTGGGGCCACATCATTTCTGGATTTCTGGTGCTCTTGGGGGCCATAAGGGAGAACAGATTTCTCAGCAGTGAATTATACAACAATGGCTACAAGCCTGAAGGTCACGTGGGGCCTCTAGAACATTCTGCCTTTCTAATTTCTTTTTTGTTAAAATTTAATTTTTGTTTTGTCTGCTTGGTTTTGGTTCCAATTTGAGGGTCACATCCAGCAATGCTCAGGAATTACTCTTGGCTCTGTGCTCAGGCATCACTCCTGGTGGTGACTGAGGAACCATATGTGGTACTGGGCTGGCCGTGTGATTGCAAACATCCTGACCTGGCAAACATCCTGACCACTGTACTCTTGATCCAGCCCTCATTTTGCTTCAGGGGGGCCATGCCTGGTGGGGGTCATGTGGCTGTTTCTAAGTGTGGGCTCAGGGGTGACCACTGGCGGTACTGGGAGACTGTATGCTACCCCAGTAGATCCGCAGGCCTCCCCCACTTCATCATCAATTCTTCCTCTAATGCTGACCGCCCACAGCCCACCCTGCATCCTTCTTATAAGGACCCCTGCGGGTGATTACCCTGTGCCCACCTGGGCAATCCAGGCTGACCCTCATCTAAGCATCCCTCACTCAATCACATTACTAACTCCCGCTGGCCACAAGAAGTAACACTGGCAGGTTCCCAGGGTTAGGATGCAGGCCTCTTTGGAGAACCATTGTTCAGACAATCATCCTGATTATGGTTATTGTCTGACCCGCCAGCCTCTTCTTTTGAGTCTCTGGGACATAGCTTTGAAGTCTGATACCAAAGCAGTTTATTCAAGGTTGTAATTTCAAACTAGCCTGCTCCCTCGGCAAAGTCTGAAGATGCAGGGGGCCTTCCCCATTTGGCGGGTAGAGGCAGAAAAATGTGGGTGAGAGCTTCCTACTCAGAGAAGGCTCAGACCAGAGGCTTACTTCACCATCCTAGTCTTCTCAGAGAAGCAAGCTAGGAATGGCCTGGTTTCCCAGGTCTGTGTGGATGGACCCCCAATGGTGTAGAACTCAGACTACAGCCCAGCAAGAATCGATTCGGAGTGCTTCCAACGGTTCCGCCGTAGCCTGGAATGTCTTTCCTCCTCCACTGAAGAGCTGATTCAAGTCTGCTGACTTGATGTGATTCATGATCCCTGTTTAACTTCCTTGAGACTCAGATCCACTTTGATGCTTACTCATTTCCATGTGAAACAGGATGTTGTTGTTTTAGAATCACATTCATTTTATAGGCCTCGTTAAGCATACCGCAAACTAAGAGCAGACAACATCATTTTCCAGTTAAGTTTGCAAAGGGATGATCTGAATGAATCACTCAGATTCGTGATTGATTTTTAGCGGAAGTAATGGGGAGGCTGGAAATGGGAAAACATGTGCAAGCAAACCTGCCTTTGAAGCAGACAATAATTTATGCTAATTGATGGCGTTACCAATGAGGAATCTTGGGAAAACTTCTTTAGATGCTTAATGGCATCTAATGGAACAGCTTCAGAACTTCAACGCTATGATATGCTGCCCTGAAGTTCAAAGGCTCTTGAATTCTACCTTACAGCTAAGTAGTATCTATTTATCATCCTCTCACCAATCCATCCACCCATCATCCATCCATTCACCCATCATCCATCCATCATCCATTCCCATCTACCAACTATCCATCATCCATACCCCACCCACCCATCCATCATCTATCCATTCTTCATCCATTCATCCAGCCACCTACCCAGCCAGACAGTCACCCAGTCACCTGCCCATCCATCCATCCACCCATCCATCCATCCATCCATCCATCCATCCATCCATCCACCCACCTATTAGCAACAGTCAAAATTGTTATAGCAAGAAAAATTAGGTACAAAGATTGTAGTCATCCAAAAGGAATATTTTTGGGGAATGGGAGATGGATCAAAGAACTCATCTACGTGTTTTGCATACAGGTGACTGGGTTTGATACCCAGAACCTACATGGTACCCTGATTATTGCCAGAAGAGATTGCTAAGCAAAGTGCTAGGAGTAATCCCTGAGCACTGCTGGGTGTGAGCACAAACAAAAGGATTTTTTAAGTGACTGAGGAAAATATCCAAAGAAGAGTATTTTGTGTGGAAAGTACATGAAATTTGAATTTTACTGTCTGTTAGTAGCTGGAGCAATAGTACAGCCGGAAGGGCATTTGCCTTGCATGTGGCTGGTCAGGTTCGATTTCTGCATCCCTCTCGGAGAACCCAGCAAGCTATGAGAGTATCCCACCTGGATGGCAGAGCCTGGCAAGCTCCCCGTGGCATATTCAATATGCCAAAACCAGTTATAACAAGTTTCACAATGGAGACATTACGGGTGCCTGCTCGAGTAAATCAAGGAACAACAGGAGGACAGTGCTACAGTGAAGTGCTACTGTCCACTAGTAAAAATTTGGGGAATACAGACACATGTGTGGCTAGTATTCCGGTAACTGCTTTTGCAATCTGATACAGCATGAGTGCTATAGCTGCAGTTGAGACCACGCTAACCTCCCCAACGCCGAGAGTATTGACTCTCTGGCCCTTTTCAGGCAGTTTGGCTCACCCTGCGCTGAATCCCAGAGAACTGCTTACATAAGTCACTTGGGAGTAATCTGAAACTGCTTTGGGCTGGAGGATGTTATTGGCATGTCCCCCCAACTCCACCCCTGCCTTTTTAAAATCCAACCAGCCCACATACTTAAACCATAATTTTTAAAACAACCCTAATTATATCACACCTAATCAGTCCATTCCTTCTGGCTTTACAGATTTCCTTCCAGATGTGAAGTTCTAAGCATCTGTTGCAACCACAATACACAACTTGTATTATCTCAGTGCTGTGCAGTCATCTCCTTGACTTATCTGGAAAAGCTTAAGTGGTTTGCTCTATGGATCCCACCATCCCATGTTCGGGCGTGGGCTTTTGATTTTCCTTCCAATTTTTCTACATCCACATCTCTCTTTTATAACTTCTCTCCAGCCCATGTTAATGTTCGCAATTACAACTCCTGGTGTTCTTTCAAATATAGCCTATAGGAAAACAATCCCCACTGTTGCACCTACAGTTATTCAAACACATCCAAACTGATCCTAACATACTACAATGAGTTGAATACTTACGGCGCTCCCAAATATCTACGTTGGAATCTGAGCCTCTCCCCAAAGCAAAAGTATTAGAACATTGGGTCTCCCTGAGGCAACTAGATCCAAAGGCTTATGAAGAGGATTATTATCTTTCAAAATGAAACCCCAAGAAGAGTCCTTATCCTTTAGCCAAATGGGACACAATACAAAATTAATCATCTATGAACCAGGAAGGAAACTGTTGAATCTGTTAGCTCCCTGATCGAGATGTCCATCAGTGTCCAAGTTCTTTCTAAACCACACACATCTTATTGCAGGAATCCACACTGCTTCCGAAACACATATGATAACAGAGGCCCAGGGTAGACAGGCAAAAAGACCAGGGATGTAATAATAACAGATGAAAAATATGAGCTTACTGGCCATCTGCATACCTTCTTTGGAGAAGTATCTGTTTAGATTGTGTCCATTTCTTTATCATCTTATTCTTTGCTTCTATTTTTCAGTTTTATGAGTTCTTTTTTGAAAGAATCACCCCTTGTTAGAAATATATGTGCATATTTTTCTCCCAATTTGTAAGATAGATTTTTGTTTTGAACAATTTCTTCTGTTCTACAGAAGACTTTTAGTTGGACATGTTTCCATTTACTCATTTTTGTGTTTATCCTATTTCACATTGAAGTTCACTCCTCAAATATAGCTCAAAGTCCCATGTTTGCTTCTATGTACTTGTATAGTTTTAGATTTTAGGCCTTATATTAAGGTCTAATCCAACTTGAATTAAATTTTTGTATGGTGTCAAAAAAAAAAAAAGACCAGGGATGGATAATTACCGCATTACTGATCGGCCGCTGGAGGCCTTCCTAGGATGGTATTTAATGCAAGGAATACATTGTTGAGTACAGGAGTAAACCATCTGCTCAACTCCTCCCACACATGCTCTTCAGCACAGAGATGCCGACACTGCATTCTGCAGTGCCATACACAGGGTCAGAGAGAAGGGATTCCAAGCATACCATTGAGTTTTTCACGCTCTGGAGTAGACGTTCATGCTGCTCGGCTATGGCCAGGGCAGCGGAGTGGACTTTCTGGTAGATGGCCTCCCCATCTCGCGTTTGAAAGATAAACAGCCCTTCACCAGTCTCACACATCCTGTGAAGACAAAGTAGAGAGTTCTGAAAATTCAGTTCAGTGTAGGTTGAATACATTGACTTGCATTCTAAAGTATATCTTAATTGGGCATGCTTTACTAAAATTTTAACACAGTACTCAATTTAAATTGGAACTATTTAAAGTAAGGCATTTATTAGTCTGTAGTTCTGTTTTGTAGCACAGTGGGTAGGGCGTTTGCCTTGCATGTGGCTGACCCGGCCGACCCAGGTTCGATTCCTCTGCCCCTCTCGGAGAGCCCAGCAAGCTACTGAAAGTATTTCACCCGCATGGCAAAGCCTGGCAAGCTACCTGTGACGTATTTGATATGACAAACACAGTAACGACAAGTCTCACACTGGAGATGTTACTGGGCTTGCTCAAGCAAATTGATGAACAATGGGAGGACAGTGACAGTGACAGTAGTTGAATGCAGCAAGAACTGTCCTGTCTGAGATCGGACCCACCTGATTTGGGACGAGATTGGGATTCCTGTTCCCATTTACTCCACAGAATTAATGAGAATCAAATGTCCAATTAAGTGTCATTAATAAGGGCAGTGAAACAATAACTCTGGGCCAACAATGTAGAAGCCAATATTTTTTAAAAGGCATTTCTACTTTAGTAACATTATCTGAACACTTCACCTAACAATACTCTCCTGATGTCCAGGACTCAGAAACTCACCAGAAACTATGTCACAATTTAGAGGGGGGATGGGGAGGGTCTGGTAACTTGTGGATTCTAACTTTCCCTACACACAGGAGCTTAAAGGGTCCACCCATTTCCAAAATTAAATATTTGAGTTTATTCCAGCTTTCACCCAGCATGAAGACTCAAGACTAAGAATTGTTTCAGGAATGTGACTTCAGTAAATTGACGTGTGGGACACAGGCAATCATCTAGAAAAAGCTCGATGTGTTTGGTAATGAAGAATGATTATGCTAAAGATTGAGAGGAAGGTCATATTCTACCTCAAACTGTTGAAGATAAGACTTTCGCTGATAAGACACTGAAGTACACAACCAGGGAAGAATCAGGTAAAGATATTCAAATTACTATGGGGAATCATGTCTACCATGGAGGCAGGTGGAGGGTGGGAAAGGGGGGGGGGTTGGTATACCGGGGATATTTGTGGTGGGGAATGTGCACACTGGTGGAGGGATGGGTGTTTCATCATTGTTTGATTGTAACCCAAACATGAAAGCTTGTAACTATCTCATGGTGATTCAATAAAATTAAAAAAAAAATTTTCAAATTACTAAATATGTTTTGGCACATACACATAATACACACAAACACATACACATATGAATATGCACATTTCTCTGTGCCTGTAAATATAAATACTTGTCAAATTTATTTAATTATTCAATTTTCAGCTCTTTGAAAAGTTTAATGTTCCATTAGGTTTTTGTTTTGTTTCCTTATTGTTTATTTGTTTGCTTGGGGGCCATACTCAGTGATGCTCAGGGGCTACTCCTGGTTCTACACTCAGGAATTGTCCCTGGCAGTGCTTAGAGGACCATATGGGGTTCTGGGGATTGAACCCATGTCAACTGCATGCAGTCAAGTGCCCTAGTGCTCCAGGGACTATTTCTCCAGCCCTCTCCATTTATTTTTTAATGATGCATTTTAATTTTAACAACAGAACCATTATTATTGTTGGAGAGCCCGGCAAGCTACCGAGAGTATCTTGCCCGCACAGCAAAGCTTGGCAAGCTACCCGTGATGTATTTGATATGCCAAAAACAATAACAAGAAGTCTCATAATGGAGACGTTACTGGGCCTGCTCGAGCAAATGGATGAACAACAGGAGGACAGTGCTACAGTGCTACAGATATGGGCAGTGCTGCTACACCACATCCGCCAGGGTCACCAGTAGAGTACCTGGGTCCTTCCACCTTCATCCTAAGACCTCCTCTCCAACCCCTCCTCCAGCAGCCTTGGATCACAGTTCCATTGACTTTGTCTCAGGATTGTCACCACTGGGAACTGTCTAATCCTTGTTTCATTTCCTTACATTCTGCACATGTTAAGTTTTTAAGTACCTTAAACAAATTGAGCCTGCATGGAATTAGACATTAATGAGTTTCATATGTGCTTAATTATAAATCAATGCCTGCATTTTCTGAATTTTATATTTTACCACTCCAAGTCCAATGCTATGCTTTCCCATATAATCGCACCTTCTCATCCAATTTTCCCATCTAGTATTCTCCTTTCCTCTGGCACCACTAATTAGGTGTTACAATTAAAAAGCATTTATTTGGTTCCTCAATTGGTTTTGTTTCTCTACCACCTATAAGAAATTTTTACTTATTTCATAAATTTGATAAATAAGGTATAGTATATATGCACAATGGAACACTATTCAGCTATAAAAGACACGGATGAACTCTCTCCCTTGGCAACAACAAAGATGGTTTTAGAGGGAATTATGTGGATTACGCTCAGTGAAATAAGCCAGATGGAGAAAGACATACTCTACATATTTTTAAGAACTTGGGCACAGTCGTATGCAAGGGTATTTTTAAAATCCTGATTTTGATACATATATCAATAATAGACTAACAGCTGTTTTTGTTGATTTTAATGAATGCATTCTAAGATGCAATTCCAGTCCTTCCAACTCATAAACCCTTGCTGCAAAAGTAAATGCCAATTGTAATGCCTGAGTTTTGCAACAATGGGAGAATTATTTAACACAACATGAAAAGCATCCAATATTTCAACCCCAGCCACTGCTAATTAGTTTATCAACTTTTGCCCATGCAGTGAACACAATAAAAAAGGAAAGATTTATTCTTATCGAATTTATTCTCATCTAATTTTCTAGTGTTGGCCCAATACATGACCATATGGTAGTTTTTGACACATAAAGCAAGGCGGAGGTAATTGGTCAAAATCTACCCAGCTTAAACTTCACTCACTAATCTGGACTATATGAGAAGAAAGAGATAAACAGATGGCTCTTACAATAGCTGATATAAAGAATTCGCTCATGTGGTTGACTCTGAAGTTTTAATTACCGACTCGTTTGAGTCTAGTGATGGACTGAAAACTAAGTACTATTCTTTTATTCCAGTGCTACTTCTCTCCTCAAGCCTTCCGAGAATACGTCACTCTTCGCTGAGCTCCCTTTGATTTAAACCTCAGACAAAGACGATTTCACAACTAAGCACTTTGTTGTACTGGCACCTATTCTCATGCTTCTCACCTCACTGTAGCACTGTCCTCCCGTTGTTCATCGATTTGCTCAAGTGGGCCCAGTAACGTCTCCATTGTGAGACTTTGTTGTTACTGTGTCTGGCATATTGAATACATCACGGGTAGCTTGCCAGGCTTTGCCATGCGGGCGAGATACTCTTGGTAGCTTGCCGGGCTCTCTGAGAGGGGCGGAGGAATCGAACCTGGCTCAACTGGGCTGGCTGTGCACAAGGCAAACACCCTACCACTGAGCTATCAAAATACAATTCGGGGCTGGAGCGATAGTACTGTGGTTAGGACATTTGCCTTGCACGCAGCCGACCCGGGTTTGGTCCCCTGAGCACCGCCAGGAGTAATTCCTGAGTACAGAGCCATGAGCAACCCCTGTGCATTGTCGGGTGTGACTCAAAAAGAAAAAAAAAACATAATTTTGTGAAGAGGAAGGAAACTCGGTCAATCTTAGGAGAAGGGGCAGCCTTTTGTTTCCCTGAGGACCAAGATCAGTATCTGCTTGCTTAGATGCCAGCTGTGATTCCAGAAAGGATGCAGATGCCTGTGAATTGTAGATGCTCACAGGAGGAGTGAGCTCTCTCTAACCCTGAAACTGTGTCTCTCAAATCAGACAAGCGAGTGCTTGGATGTTTCTGCAGTGGTGATGAATACAGTCACGAATCACGACCATCCTGTTATTCATTGATTGCCTCGAGCAGGCCCCAGTAACGTCTCCTTCATCCTAGCCCTGAGATTTTTAAGAAAGTGCTATATTCAAGGCTCTTTAGGAGAATGAGACCCATCATTGTTACTGGTATTTGGCATATTGGGTATGCCACTACAGTGACAAAGACAATTGAAATGGAGACCCGACATCTCCACCAATTTCTCTATCTTCTACCCAGCTAGATATTTATAATCAATGTATAGATAAAATACTGAAATTTTTCTCTATGCTTTTTCATTACTGATGATAAAATGCCTTTTCTCTCTTAAGACCCACTGAAGAGCAGGAGCTACTCTTTGGAAATCGCTTTTATCTGATGCCTGCTTTTGAGTCACGTAATGAACCTGCCACCTCTCTTTATCATTTGAAGATCTCGTTATTACTATCAAAACACAAGCAACTATAATATCAAGTATTCTTTAAAGATTTCCTTACCTCTGTTTGAGAATCTGAAACACACACACACACGCATGCATGCACACGCACACACATGCACACACTCACACAAATAAACATATATACACACACACACACCACTTACATGAAGGATCAGGATTATAACCATAAATTCCATCAGGGTTTAGACAAAGAAAGTGAGAGGATAAAGCGAGTCTGATCCCACCACCCCACCACTGAAGCAGAGAGAAAATATTTAGCAGACAGGCGCTCCCAGCCAGACCATTTTGTAGTATCCAAGGGGGGAAAAGGAGCCCAATGCAATCACAGCTTCTGAACCTTGGTGTGTATGTGAAATAACTTGAATTTTTTATGTTGCCTGCTCATCCCATTATTTTTAAAGCTCTGAGGGCCAAAATGCATGGACGAACCAGATATGGCCAAGAGGTCTCCCGCTGACATTAAGAAGGCCAAAATGCTGAAAGTGGCCCATGTCAGAGGTCTCAGACTGTGTAGTCTGGTGTCTCATCCGCTGACCAAAGGCAAATGACTAAACAACGCTAATGGAGAGATGCTCTCTCACACGGTCTCCTACCCACACCCTCACCTGCATCCCTGTCCTTTCCTACCCCCAACTCCGGGAGCAGCACTTTCAGAAGCTGTTGTACTGCCCACGAA